AAAAAAAAAAAAAAAAAGAGTGAAGATAAGCCAGGGGAAGGGGAACACAGATGAGAACATTATCACAGGAAATAAAGGATCTAAAACCGCGCGTAGCGATAAACGTTGCCTTAGACTACGTTCCATCCCCTGGATCGCTGGGTCACAAGCGGGAGCAGAGCCCCGCAGGGGTTTCTGCTGTGATTCCTGAGACCTACTCAGAGTTAACACCCCACATCTGCTGGGACGAGTTCAGAGACAGGCAGGCGATCAGCGAGGCCCACACCCGGTGCTCTGGGGGCCCCAGCTGTTGCCAAGGATAGGCGGGTGCGGGTTGGATGGGGCACACCCCCAGACCTGGGTGCCCAGCAGTCACACACAATGCTGCTTCGTGCTGCAGCCAACAGCCTGGGCTGTTTTCATGGGGACCCTCGTCTTCGTCTTCAGAGGACTCACACGTAGGACTGTCACGTGACCGAGGGCACGGGCACCCACGCACAGGTACCACTCCGTTTACCACAAGCGGCCATGCTAGAGAACCGCCAGCACCGGAACGGAGCCTTCCCCGTCTGGAAGCAGCCTGAATGTCTTTCTCTGGCAGCGGCAGGTGCTAGAAAGCCCCCAGGTACAAGCCCGGACACCTGCCCAAGTTCACAGTGAGGGATCCGCTCTAACCGCCTGTGGAGAAAAGCCTGCTGGAGTAAGAGGCAGGAATGCAGGCAGGTAGGCTATGGGCTGAGGAGGCCGGTGAGGGCGGGTAGGACCCACGGTAGGGCCCCTGTCCCCGAAGGTCCCCAGGTCCCTCCTTGGCTGCGGGCCCCCACTGTGTCCCGACGGACGGCTGTGTCACTCGGTGCTGCCCACTGCTCGGGGCTGGAAGGATCTGGGTAGGCACGCAGGGACGGGCTCAAGGCAAGGAGTGGCTGCTCGCCTTCCGTGGCTTGAGCGCGCCCTTCAAGGGCACGTGGGGCCAGCGCTGGTGCAGGCGGGGGGAGAGAGGCACGGGGCAGCTAAGGGCTGGCAGACACTCATCCGGCCCGTCCATCCTGCCCATCAGGCGCCGCTGGCCTTCCCGTGAAGATTCCCGGATCGGGGTATGGCCACCTCCTTCCTGGCCCTCGACACAGAGTCGGTAAGCCCACTGCATCCACGAGGCAGGGGACACGTGGCAGATGATGGTCTGTCTGTCGGAGGGGAGCGCCTCTGCGGGGACAGCCTGGTCACCCCACCCCCCACTGAAGTCCAGAGCACGAGCGGGCCCTCCGGCTCTCCGCCCCCAGTCCTCGCCCTGCCGCAGGTCGCATTCAGCCGTCGGTGACACACAGCGGCGACAGATGGCAGGGACAGGCGGGGGCGGGGGAAGGAGCGGAGGGGAGCCCGGGAGAGGCTGGTGGCCGTCAGGAGGACGGGCGGTCGAGCAGGCTGCTGTCCGGAGCGACAGCCCGCATATGGACAAACAACAAGATAATTAATTTTTAAGGGGGAACGAGGGAAGCAGAGCTCGCTGCCACCGCCCCGCACCAGCCGGAACACCACACGCGGTGTGTCTGCGTTCTCGGCGAGAGACGATGTTTCGTGTGCAGGCCAGCGTGTCACGGACAGCCGGGAAGCCACTTGTCTGCTGCCGGACCTCACTGGTGCTGGCCGGCGCTTGGCTCTCTTGAAAGTGAGCACTTGGAAAACAGATGCCGCGCGACGTGCTTGTAGGTTTAAAGGCGACGCCGGCTGGGCGGCCGTGGCATGTGGAAGATGCACCATAGCAAACAAAGCTGCCGGGTCCTCCAGGCAGGTGCGGCCTTGACCGCGGCCCGGCAGCCAGGCGAGACAGACACCGAGAAGACGGAGCCACTTCCTGTGCATCCAGAGAAGCGTCCGGGCAGGGGAGCCCGAGGTCCCGCCAGACAAAGCTGCAGGCTTGGGAAGCGCCAGCTCAGAGCTGCAGACGGCGGGACACTTGGGTGTCCCCGGGCTTCCGGCCACGTCAGCAAGCAGCCACAGCCAGGGCAGCCCGCGACGGGGAGACGAGGACACACGCTGAGGACCGGCAGCGAGAGCCCATACGGTGCCCCGGCAGACGCGACGAGGCTGGCACTCACAGGCCCGGGCATGTGAGCCGCCCTCTGGAGCCGTCAGGGACCTTCTCAGACACGGGCACCACCCGGCTGCCGCAGCCACTGGGCGTCACAGGCGTGCGCCCCTCCCCGCCTTGCTCCGGGCCCGTGAGAGCAAACACGGAATCTTCCCGCCATCTGGGAAGCACGGCTCGGCCCAGCTGTTCCCTGCTCCTGTCTTCCCCAGGGCTCCCCTGTACGGTGCAGAGACCCTGGCGCCCCCTGCCGCCCGGCCACTCACGCCTCATTCCCGGTGCTGGGTTCTGGCCAGAGAAGCAGCAAGGACCGTCAGGCTACACAGGCCCCGGAAACACCGCGACTGGGAGCCGGGCGACGTGCCGTGCCGGGCCGAGGGCTGACCCTCCCCACGGGGGCCCAGGGGCGGGGTCTTCTTGGGTAAACGGAACACCTACTTCTTCACTGTGAACACGTTCGTAGCACTACACCTAAACCACCATCTCCACCCGCTTGCTTGACCATCTCCTCGACCTCTCACTCCAGACACGGAAACTGAGGCCACGGGGCAAGGTCACAGGGCAAGGCCTGGCACAGGTACGGAGCTGGGAGCCACCTCTCCAGGGACAGAAGCTGACACGTGGGTCCAGTGGAGATCAGTCACACGGACGTCTAGTATGGGCATCGGCTATAGAGAAGGTGATTTCCTTTTACATCGAGGTTCCAGTCCCACCGACCCTCAACTTTTCTGTGGTTTCTACTCACCGACGATCAGATTTGCAGCTACTAGAAACTTCACTGAAATAAGACAGTAAGTAGCATCCCCTTCCTCACCCTGGTCAACCTAGAGTAACAGCAAAGCCACCAGATTCCAGCGGTTGGCGGCAGCCTTCGTTCTCGGGGCCCCGTGAGCTGCCCGTGGTGGCCTCGCAAGGAACCAGCCACACCCAGCCTGGGTTTACTGAGTGGAGACAGGGCCCCGCCAGCACAGCGCTGTGAACCAGAGGGTGCCTCTAACAACCTGTTTCAACAAGGGCCGTCCAGAGGCTCTCACGACCCACAGTGGATGGAGCCTGAGGAGGCGGGCAGAGTCTGGAGGTCGGGGCCCAGCTGGCCTTGGCCCTGCTCTGCACACCGTCCATAGGGCATGGTGCCCGGAAACACCAGTGGGTGCCCTCAGGAAACACCAGCCTGAACCTGTGTCGGGGCCCCAAGGAAGAGACCTTCAACCTCTGGCCTGCTGGGCGGTCCTGGCCGTGGGACACCCGTGTGCCACCAGCGGAGCACAGGGCAGTGGCCCACCTTTGTCTCCTTCTCATTTCCTTCCGCGTGGAGCACGTAGGGATAGCCCTCCTTCTTGGGGTTTTCTGAGACAATGCGTACCTCCACACCTGGCAGCGGGGTCCCCACGGAACCTGCAAAGACAGAGAAGGAGAGGGCTGCACGCCTGGACGTCCTGCACATAAGATGGTAGATGCCAGAGCGGAGGGGACCCAGTCACCTTAGGGAGGCTCTCGGCACCCGGGCCGAAGGCTGGGGCTGCCACCACCTCCCCCTCCAGCACCTAGCTCTGCTGTAAGGGCACACGCGTCGGTGGCCTGTCCCCGGGGTCACCACAGAGCACCTGTGTGCAGAAGGCCCAGGAGGGACAAAGCAGGCAGGGAAGCCTGTCACCCGCTTTCTGGTTCATTTATTAGGCAGCCATGGTTTGCTCGGTGTGTTCCGCAGCACGGGGGCAGCGGTCTGCCGTGCGCTGAGGGCAACGCGCAAGTCCCCACGGTGAAGGACCGTTGTGGCGGAGGTCCCGAGACCAAACGCTCAGCGTCTGTGAGGACTCACGTCCACTGGAATCAGTGAGGGATTGTCACAGGACAGACACCCGGGAGGCCAACTCTGAAACTCTACATCCGCACAGGATTCTGGGATCCTGGCCTCGTTTTGCCAGAAAGCCGCTGTACTATCCTCACGGCCCGCCCGTCTCTGCATCTGAGGTCCTGGGGGGCGAGGCCAGGGCGGTGTCCCTGATGGGCGGGGCGCATCCGGACCAGGTCCCTTCTGGCCCTTCGCGTTCTTGTTTTGCTTCCAAAGATTTTAAAAATCAAAGTTAAATCTATACAAGATACAATCACTCGTCACAAAGCGCACAACTCAGTGGCATTCAGCACACGCGTGACGTGGGGCAACCGTAACCGCCAATGGCTCCAGAACTTGCAGTCACCGGGCGGAAACCAGAGGCGTCAGCAGTCACGCGTTCTCCCCCACCCCCACAACCGTTCATCGGCTGCCTCGGCGGGTCTGCCTGCTCCGGACACTTCTACGAGGACCTGAGACACGGGTCCTCCCCAGTCCTGCTAGCAGTGCACGTGCATGGAGCCCGCGGCCGCGCAGGCAACAGGACTCTCGAGACGCCACACGGGAAGCGAGGGAGTCTCCTCCCCAGCGTGAGACACGGATACCAGACACAAGAAGCAGCCTCTGAACCCAGCCCCTCCAGCCCCCTCCTCCTGGCGCCGGGCTTGGCAGCCCCTGGGCGCAGTGGAGACCAGATGCAGTGTTCCACACGCAGTCTAGACGCACTTGCCAGGGGACCTCGAGGTCTCCTTTTCTGGATTAAACGGCCCCTTTCCCTTAGACTGTGGCAGTGACAAGTTTAACTCTGCTGCGTAGACTGTCCTTTCCTGGGCCTCCCGGCCTAGAGAGGTTGACGGGCTGGCGGCTCCCAGAACTCGGCAAACACGGCGCTTTCTGGCACTGCCGTATCACAGAGGGCAGGACTCGGGCAGCAGGTGGAAAAGGCGCCCGGGAGGAGCGGTCTCTGTGCCCCGTGCCCTCCACGCCACCACCCGCCGGCACCGTATGGGAGCACAGACCGGACACACGCTTCTTACCAGAAGGGGGTCCGTCCTCCTCTCTGAGAAACGCCAGCGCCCCCCGTCCTCGTCCCCAGCTTTCAATCCACTGGTTTCTCCTCGGAACATTTTTTAAAAGGAGGAAGCCGTCCTCCTCGGCTCCCCCTGCCCCTCTCTGCTCTTTTCTCCCTCTGAACGGCGAATGCTGCCAGCCGTTAAGATTTGTAACGGACGTGCCGACGGAATCTTGATTCATTACAGCATCGCGGACACGACAATACAGCTAAAACCTCCAGGCAGGGATGACCCTGGTTTCAGAGGCCTGACGTCCCGCAGGGTGAGGTCCACACAGAGAAGACCCAGTTCGGGATGGGCAATGAGCTCCCTAACCCTGTCTGTCCCACCCCAGCTGGCGGGCAGACCACAGGCAGCCACCAGCCCGCCCTGGGTCGGCTAATACCCACTCCTCCTCCTTTAGCGTCCTCCCCCTCTCTCCCCCCCCCCCCTCCCCGGGGCACAGTCATAAAACGCAGTCTTTAAAACGGTCCCCAGCCCTCCCCAGATAACCGCAATTGGCCCGTGGCTCCGTCTGGAGTCTGGGGAGGGCGGCCAGTCCGCGGCCGTCCCGAGAGAGGGGGGACAGGCCGGTAAGGCTGGAGCTGCCGTCAGCGCTCCCCCGAGCCGGCTGTAGAAGCCGCTGGCGCCTCTGATCTCCACCGCCAATTAGAGTGTGATTAGGCCCAGCGGCGCCTGGCTGTGAATTATTCATCTCCTTTCATGGTACGTGAGGGCCACGGAGAAGGAACAACCGGAAGACTGACCCAGAGCCTGACTCTCAGCAAACAACCCTCTTCCAAGGCTGGCCTCGCCCCGGGCGCCCAGGTCAGGGTGTGAGAACCTGCAAAAACGGGTCCTGGC